CGGGGTTCGCCAGTTCGGATCCCGGGCACCCACCGACGCACCGCTTGTCAAGCCATGCTGTGGTGGCGTCCCATATAAAGTGGAGGAAGATGGGCACAGATGTTAGCCCAGGGCCAGTCTTCCTCAGCAAAAAGAGGAGGATTGGCAGATGTTAGCTCAGGGCCAATCTTCCTCACACACACACACACACAAAAAAGTACCAAAAAAAAAAAGAAAGTATGAAACTTTCACCAGCACATATTAGCCACCTTAACTTTCACCTTGTTGCCTCTACCCTCAGAGCACTTACATCCCATCTACTACTAGACTGAGTAGACTGACAGAGACCAGAAGAGCACCCTGTGTCTATTCTGCTGAATTAAACAGAAGCTGGGAAGTCCAAAGTTCTGTTGGAAGGCAATCAAAACAGGTGAAACAGGAAAACTCTGTTTCAGCATGCTTCTGGAGGGCCAATGCACCTGCTGCTACACTGATGCGAGAACAATACTGGAGTCTGCCCTTCCTGGGTGGGCTAATGGGGTTTGTTTACCAGGACTGGCATTACTTCAAGACTCAGAGATGTTTGAAGGGCTTCCCATGGGTTTAGAGAACTGTCTTTCCTATAACTACGAAACCAGCACCTGCAGCTTGAAGGCTGACTCCCAAGTACAGACTGACTGCCAACGTACAGCAATGCCTCCTCTGGCGCACCCACCATTGCTTCCACTAAACTCGCCCCCACCACTTCCCTCCTCCAGTCCCCATCCCCCAGCCTCTTCATTAACCTGGAAGTGCCAATGAGCAACAGCCTTAGACAAAGCTCTCTGGTGGGTACTGTGGAAATAAATGAAAAAACTCAACGCATGGCTCCTGTCTGCCCTCAAGAAGCTTACATTCTTGTTTGGAGGTGCATCTGAGCCACTGATTTTGCAAGGAGCAATTAATTAGACACAGGGCACAGCAACTTAGGGGATATTAGGGTTCACTAGAAGGGCAGCACTAGGGCTGGCACGTTTATGGCTGGCTTGAATGGGCCTGTCTGAAAAGAGATCTCTCTCTCCTTCTAGATCTGCTTATTCATCCTCTTCCTTCTTTCTGTCCTTTGGTTTCATTTCTCATGATCTTCCCTGTACAATCGTCTTCTTCCCACATGCCAGAAAACCATCCCTTCACTCATGCAAGCAACACTTTCTCTTTGCAGAAAATTATTCTTTAGCCACTTGAAACTACAGCAAACTACTCAAGTGGCCTCGCTGGGAAACTCTGTCTAACCTCTATACCATTCAGGCTCTTTCATTTGAAAGCTTTCTCTTTTCCTCTTGTTCTGCTTGTTCTATTGATTCAGACTATTCATCCAGTGAGCAGAGACAACATCTAATTATATTTTCCACCACAACATTAACATGTTATTAATGCTTAGCAAGTAAGAAAAATAATAATGTCCTTATGTTTCCCCTTTTGTTCTCCTCAAGACTTCATAAGCAAAAAGAGATTTTTAAAGTCTACCATGGAAGGCTTTGGTCCATTAGACATACATTAGGTTTTTCTGTCCTCCTATACAAAGGCTCAGCCTTTTAAATGGGGCATGCAGCCATTAGGCATTAACTCATCTATTATGTTTTTCTCTCCTTCTTCAGAGGACTAGCGCACTAGTCTCACAGCAAAAATCATATCAAAAGCTGTTCTTTTCCCAGCAATACACCTTGACCACCACCAATGGACGGTCATTCAGAAAAACTCGATTGTACTGGTATGCTCCCAAATGCTTAAGAGCCTCACAAGACTCCAAATTCCCCTGTCCTTTACACCCTCACCCCACATGCCTGTCCCTCCTCCAGTCCAGCCAGGCCAGCCTCCTCAGTGCCCCCTGGAGATACCAAGACTTCTCATTCCAGCAACCTCTAAATTTAACCCATCCATGGAGGCCTAGATAATTCATGACATTCCCAACAAAGCTCTCTTGACCACAACAGCTCTTGGTGATGACTCACTCTTTTGAAATTAGAATATGCAAAGATTTAAAAAGTTAACAGCATGGCATAGCATATATCAGAAAGCCAAATGGGCAGAAGAACTAACACTCTGTTTATATCAAATTAGATCAGCAGCTCCTTAAAAGCAGGCAGCAGAATTCTACAGATGTTCTTGGTATCACACACATATTTATACCACACTGAACTATTTGTGGCTCTTCCTCTCAACAAAGTTTATGAGCTTCTTGGGGCAGAGACTATTTCTTATACAGTTTCAGAATCCCCTGCAATAATTAACATGAATTGTGCTGGACACGCAGGAAGTCCACAGTGGATTCTCACTGATTTGCCCCACAGAGAAGCTGGGAATATTGTCTGGTTGAACTGAAGAGTAAAATCATACTAAACCTATAAATCAGAGATAGGGCACTGAGAGTAAGTGTGACAGCATTACAATGAATTGGGATTTTGAACTCATAAAGACTCACTCTATATGCAATTTCAGCCGAGTGGGTGTGCGTGGAGGGAGGGGGCAGATTAATAGAATCAGAATATCAGTTCTCAAATGGCCTTCCAGATCATCTGATGGAAGCCATCCTCTTACAGAGAAAGAAGGACTGGGAAGTCTCCCAACCAAAGCTGGAAAGAGCAGAGACCATCGCATAAGGTGCCTTCAGTCCTGACTGCGCCTTTTCACACCCCCAGCAGCTTCGCAGCAAGAATACACATGCTATTTCTCACTGAAGAAGTGCCCCACCTCTGTCTGGAGGCAGGCACTGAAACATCATTCAGCGTTCCCATTCAGGGATAATGGGGACGCGTTTAACGTTTTGTTTTTTTTTTTGTCCTGCTGCTGTGTGACACTGTTAATTGCAGATCTATCGTAATTGTTTTCTTTTCTCTAGCTCATCCATGTTACATGCAACAAATACTAACACATCCTCTAAACAATTAAATTGTGCCAGGCAGGGTACAGTGAGAGGACAGGAAAACTTGAGTTTAAATAACTAAATACTTAATTGAGAAACTAAGATTTTTTTCTTTTAAAAATTTTGTTGTTTTCAATTTGCTGACATCACTGTGCTAGCTCAGGTAACAACAAAGCAGTGCTGGCCAGTGTCACAGCATCTTTCTGTAAACAAACACTGACTGCATATCTATGCTGTGCAGGCTCTGTTCCAGGAATTATGCAAGATCAAGTGAATAAAACTCTGTTTCTGCCCTCAAGAATCTAGTTAGAGGATTAAAAATGAGCACCAAAAGTCTAATAAAGGACTAATAGGAGGCTGTGGAATTTCAGAACAGGGACAAATTCTCTGATTCTCCTCAACTGGAGAAATCATATTAATAAAACCATATGTGTTTATAAAGCAATATCCACAGAAATTAGGATGTTCTTAATTCCAAGAGATGGATATCTTCCATTTTAGATAATTCTTTTGAGTTCACACTTTCTTCTAACACTTGATTGCCTATTGACAAAAGAATATGCCAACTTTTTTCACAGATGCTGATTTTTAAGTTTTCTCTGAAAAACGAGTTTTATTTGCCTTCATCAAAATAAGCAAAATAAGTCAGATGGAGAAAGACAAATACTGTATGATTTCACTCACACGTGGAAGATAAACAAACAAACACACAGATACAGAGAACAGATTGGTGGTTACCAGAGGGGAATGGGGGTGGGGGGAGGGTGAAAGAGGTGAAGGGGGACATTTGTATGGTGACAAATGGAAACTAGACTTTTGGTGGCGGACATGATGTAGTCTAGTCGAAATATAATGATGTACACCTGAAATTTATATGTTATAAACCAATGTGACCTCAATAAAAAAAATAAATAAAACTATATAATGGAGACAGTTGCACAAAGCTGTAAATTTAATCAAAAGCATGTAATTGTGCATGCAAAACAGGTGAATTTGATGGTATATAAATTATACTTCAATAAAGCTATTAAATAAAAATAATATATTGCTTCAATGGAGTTGATATTGAAAAACAATATAATTTTGTATGTTTGGCACACTTTACGGCTTCCAAAGCATTTTCACAAGTACTATTTCCATCAGTCTCATTCGGTCATCACGAAACCCAGAGGAGTGCCCAGGGTCAGTTTATTGTGTTTCTGGGCATGTACATGTGCATATTATTATTATTATTTTCATCACACACTGAGGAGTCTGAGGCTCAGAGGAGTTTGGTGAGTGACAGTGACAACAGGCATTTGTCAGACTCATCAGACAAAAAGAAAATTGCTGGCTAAGCCCTCCAACCTAAAATTACTTACAAGTTATTACACTTGAAAACTCATGTTCCCACTGGTATACGTTCTCTTGAAAAGCAAACATCCCCTGGGCAGCACTCAGCATCTGGGGGCCCCAGCTTCCCCTTTTCGCCGGGTGCAGCACCTTGTTCCCTCCTCAGACACTGGCCAACCTCTCCTCTCTCATCCTCTGTTCCCAATAGAGAATCAAAGAACAGTCATTTGTTCTTCCATCATAGAGAGCCAATGCCACTGAATTTGGGCTTTAAAACTTCGTTATAACTCCACAGGGGAAGTCTTTTTGCTAATAAACACATTTAGGGCAGTGGCTATCAGGTGGATAGCATTTGGCGCTGAATCACTGAAGCTGCCATGTTTCCGCACAGTGATTAATAGAGGACCTCTGAGCTTATCTTCAGGGTCATAGAAGGAAAGAGAAGCTGGCACTAATGCGTCCTGCGCTGTGTCCCTGAAAGGAACTTCAGGGATGAGCAATGACAGATTTCACAAGTAGAGAAAGCCCACAGAGTCTCCAGGGGCTGAGGTACAAGAGAAAAAACAGAATCTGGGACGCAGCCAGGGCCTGAGAGTGATGCCCCAGCCCTCCCTCCCAACTCCACACACACACCCTTGTCCCGGCCTCAGCCCAGACTCAAAGGCTCCAGCCTCGTGGTTCTTAAAATCTGCCCAAGTCCAGAAGGGGGTATCCTCAAGTCCCACAACCTGACCCCCACTCCTCTTTCTTCCATTTGAGAACACTGAGTGGGGACAGCTGTCCTTACCTCGTAGTGGGCCACGCGCTGAGATTCGGATATCAGTTGTGCACTGCACACCTTGCAGTAACTGTCTGTAAATAAATCCTGATCGATATCGGAGGACTTCATCAGGCTAAAGGAGAATCAACAAAAAAGAGAAGAAACATGAGTCCACTGCTTTGACGTTTATGCCGGACACTAAGCACGTGAAAAGCCAGGTGCACAGTAACAGACCCGCCGATGGTAACAGTCGGCGAGATCTCCCTAAACCTTCGGTGTCACCATGGCAATTAACCATAGTAAGTGTATGGTTTATAATTTTCTCACAAATGCCCAATAAGGTTGCTGGTACCCTAAAAATAGAAATCCAGCTTTAGTTTTCTCTGTTTGACAAATCAGACTTATGCCAAATGCATCCTCAAGGATTTACGTAGAGGATATTTTCACATAGGATTTATATTAACAAAACATTGTAAGCATCCAATATATGCAACAATAGGAAATAGGGTAAATGAACCTTGATACATCCACACACTAGAATACCATGTGACTTCTAAACTCAGATCACATACTTCTTTAAAAGAATATTTAGGGGCCAGCTCCCGTGGCTTAGCGGTTAAGTGCGCGCGCTCCACTACTGGCGGCCCGGGTTCGGATCCCGGGCGCCCCCCAATGCACCGCTTCTCTGGCCATGCTGAGGCTGCGTCCCACATACAGCAACTAGAAGGATGTACAACTATGACATACAACTATCTACTGGGGCTCTGGGGACAAAAAAGGAGGAGGATAGGCAATAGATGTTAGCTCAGAGCCAGTCTTCCTCAGCAAAAAAGAGGAGGATTAGCATGGATGTTAGCTCAGGGCTGATCTTCCTCACAAAAAAAAAAAAAAAGAATATTTAGTGAAATAGGAAAAAGTTTACCATTATCAACAAAAGAGGCTTACAAATCAGCTTACACATTATTATACTAAATTTGTTTTAAAATGTGTATAGGGTGAACAGAAACACATTCCAGAAAGTTTTAACAAAATTCTAATAGCAGTTATCTTTGGGAGATTAAAAGTAATTGCTTATGTAATTTTCTTTATTTTTAAATTTTCTACAATGAACATGTATTACATTTCTAACAATACAAGTTAGCTTTGTCAAGAGCCTTATAAGCAATATAAAATCTAGCTTTGAGTTCAACAGGTATACTTAGAAAATTAAAAAACAAAATTATAAAATCGAACTAAACTATAACTTTCCTTGCAGACTTATATCTTATAAAGAGAGGAGCCAACTCTTCTACATTTGAGATTGTTGAAATTCATAAAGACCACCTCCACCCCTCCACACTCCAACTGAGCCCACAGTGGTAAATAAACATACGCTCAAATTCCAAACTCTGAATCAAAATGCAGCCAAGAGTCTCAAGCTTACGAAAGTGATCTGTCACAAAAGTGTCTTATAGCAGTGAAAGTATAATGTTACCAACCTAGAAACACACACCAGTGCATCAGAATTCTTCCTCCAACCCACAAACTCCATTTCATTTTACCTTCTGCCTGCCAGGCAAACAGTAAGGACTATGCCAGACAGCATGCACATGGAGAGGCAAGAGAATCTCAGACAACAGAGACGTGGTGGAGACCGTGGAGTTCATCTTACTCCAACGCTTCATTTGACATGTGAGACTGTGTGAATCACATTGCTGATTATTGGCATGGCCATAAGTAGTGCCTAGCTTGCAGGATTCCAATATCCACACTCCAGATCCACCCTAGGTCTAGGGCTACCTGCCAGCTGTGTGATTGTGGGCTGAGTCACTAAACACTCTAGGTCTCAGTTTCCTCCCTAAAAAAAATCAAGATGATAATATTTGCCATTCCTCCTTAGAGAATGTGGAGAAGATTAAAAGGAGATATATAAGAGAAGGTACTATATAAACTGTAAAATTCTCTTCCTTTGAAAGGGATCGTTATCACATTTTTAATTATATCCTCATGTTGGTAAGATGTTGGCCAAGTCTTGACCAATGCAACAAAACGAAGGACAGTGGTCCATTTTAAGTGATTCTGGAAACCGTCTAAACAGCTGGGCCACAAAGGAAAGTATCTGTCTGGAACGTAAGGCTGCCTGCCTCAACAGCTACAAACTCACTTTCCATCCCTGGCCTTGGCTATAATGGCCCATTAGGGCATTTGCATTCAGCAATTCAAAAGGATGCACAGTTTCAGCTCCTAAGATACAGCAGCACCTCTGGGTTTTCAATGCTCTGAGGACCAAGAGTCACATCAGATAGTAAGGACCACTGACTCTCAACAGCTCAAGTGGATTTGTTACTTCTGGAAGGATCCTTCCTGGCAGACAACCCAGTCAGCCTGGAGTCCAGCACCTGCAGTGCCTGAGGGCTTACTACCTCACATTGCAACCTGTTCCAGAGAGTCTGGCAACTCTCTCTGGTGTTAGGTTGTTTTTAGGTTGATTCACAATCTGTCCCACTGTGGATTTCACTCATTGATTCTGTCCTTGGGTATAACACAGAACAATTCTACTCTCCTTTCTCCTGAGATATCCTCCCTCAAGTACTTGAGGACAGCTCTCCTCTATCTACTCCCAACCCCTGTTCTGCCTTATCATCTTGGACTGTGTCCATCTCTTTATGGGCCATCTTCAAAGGCAGTGACAGAACAGAATGAAACACTCCAGATATAGTCTAACCAGGGCAGAGGATCACAGATCCAAATGACCATCCAAAATATCCATTGTCGTTTGTAATGGTCTCTATTCACACCCTGGAATGCAAATAGAGAAGTGGTGTTTTGATGATGGGAAAATGTAGTACAACATTTTGAAATGTCAAATGGGAAAAGAAAACTTACTAAGGTATATTTTTGAAGCTTAGCTCCTGTAAGTAGTTGTGTTTAAATATTATCGTGTTCCCTGCTATTTCTAATAAAGAAGTGCACGAAAATAGATTCATGGGTGACCTGGTTAATAGGAATCTCCAAACTCACTGCACACTACTTCCTCATTATACAACCGACTGCTGAAATCAAACCCTGTGAAAGGATATTCAAGGTATGCATCGGACCGAGCAAGGCCGTAGGAGTCTAGGGCTCGGTAAAGTGGCTGTGCAGCAGAAATAGCTTTAAGGGCAGAATATAACATGTGTATACTAAAAATTAAAAAAAAAATTCGAAAGAAGAAGAGATATCATGGCTTCTCCCACTGTTTTATATAAGAATATTGATTTGAACAAGCCCACATGCAGTAAAATGACAATAAAGACCCCTCCAAAATCTACGAGGCCTGAATGGAATACCTGAGTAAGTTAAATTCCAGTGGGAGGCAATTAGTGGACAAGCGTCAGCCTGGTTTGTGCATGAGGCATTTTCTCCAAGAAAAGAGAACTATCTCTGTGTAGGTCACTTTTGACAAGCAGAGGGTCTGATTGATGACTCAAAGAGTGGAATTCCCAAGAGGGAAGCCTGCCATTTGCTCCTCTCCACTGGCTTCTTTAGAATAGGATTCCCAGCTTCACCCACCTTTGGAAGTACTGGTGAGCTGGAAAGAAAAAGGACAGGAAATCTGACTGCCTTCCAGTAGCCTTGTCCATGGTCCTGAATCAGCAGCTAGCGCACACAGGACAGGGCCACTGATCACTTACCGGTCAGTCCTACTGTCCCGTCAGAGCCAACGTATGGTGACCCCCACCCTGGAAACATGCTGATTGTGCTACACTCTGAGGCCTTGGGACATTGTGAGGAGGGAGACAAGATTAGGGGGAGGAAGGAGTTTGATTCCCTGGATCTGAAACTGATCTGAATGAAAGCTTCCTCAATGCTTCCCACTCTAGCACAATCCAAAGGAAATATTGAAGATTTGAATAACCTATCACTCTTCAGTATTCACAGAGGACAGTGGCATCTATATTTTAGTCAAGAAGCCCAGAGTGGAAGTGAAGCATTAGAACAGGAGTCTGATCAGATTCTCATTTGCTGCCCCAGGTCTCTATACACCAATAGATCTATTTACATGCATGGTGTGGCAGTGTAAGACTCCGAGGCATAGCTAGGTAAAATAAATAAAGAACATACAGAGGGGGAGAGCTTTTGTTTATTCAATAATGGTTATTGATCATCTACTATGTGAGGCACAGGGATAACAGAAGGCACAACTCCTGTTTTCCAAATCTTTATGAGCTATTGAGTGAGAAGAGACATATGCATTCAAATACCTAAGGCACAGGCAGCAAGTGTAATTTGGCTGGTAAAAAGTGCTACGGAATTTGAGAAAACAAGAGGGATTATAAGGAACTCTTCAAGGAGGTTCTCCGGAATTGATAATGTAAGGATGGATAGGATTAAAATGGAGGGAAACGGGTTCCAACTCAAAAGCTAATTCTTTTTCCTGGCACAGAGAAAATCTTACTACCAGTAGGCATGAGAAGATATATGCGAGGGGCATTGGTGGGGCTAACTTGGGATTATGCAACATAAGGGGAGAAGGCAGCAAAATGCAAGGGAGAGAAGGGTACACAGAGCCCAAGACCCATATGGGAGGAGGAAGACTGAGGGAGAACAGCCAGGTCCCAAAACATTTCTCAAGGTGCAAGGAATGGCCTTTTGCAGAATCTTCAGATGCAAATATGAAACCTTCCTTTCTGCTTCTTTCTGCTTCTCAAGAGCAGATTTCAGGAACACAAGCTGAAAACCAGAGAAACCTGAGGCTTTATGGCAGAGAGTAATAGTCTTCATTCCATTCCATTTCTCATAGTGCTCAAATAGCTCTGACTCAAAGATCCCAAATCCCAGGCAGGGCTCTTCAGAGGAAAAAGACATTAGTTCAAATCCAGGCTGGTCGCTTGCCAACTAGGTTTTTGAACAAGTTATATATCCTCCCTGGGTCCTCGTTCCCTCATTTGTGAAACGGGGGAAACATCCTCACAGGGTTATTGTGAGGATTAGAGATGATGTAGATAAAAAGCATCTAAGAAAGACTGTGGCATATGGTAGACATTCAAAGACAGATATTACCACCATTATGATGAATATTATTAATTTCGTATTATCATTATTCTCATTTTCAACAGGGATGCTGTAAATATTTAAGCAGAGAAATAAATAGAACCACATTAAGGACTAAGG